CTTTCCTGTTCAACTAATGTTTTAAATTCTAAGAGGTCTTGGTAGTCTTAGCAACAATTAAAGCTAAGAAAACAACAGTTAGAGAAATCTCAAAACAACAACAAAAAAAAGCAGGAATCAAAAAGTTATCTCTTTTCTCTGAAAAGAAAACAAGTATTCTGCTGACCCCTGACTCCTGACCCCTGCCCGCTGAAATATTTCAGAATTCCAGCCCACCAAGACTCGTCTTCGTTTCCCATAAATCCCTACATCCTTGAACAGGTCCTGGTTTATCTTCTAAATGGTCTCAGGTGAGTAACAGAGTGCACTCAGGGGGCTTACATTACATTGGTAATCTAGATTTGTTTGAGGTTGAGCAGAGACATCAAGAAGCTTTAGAAGCAACAGAATGGTAATGCATGATATCATGGAAATGTGCTGTAACCCAGTAGCTAAGGAGGAAAGGAGAAGGGTGCAGTCGGGTTAGTTTAAATGTCACTGGCTGATTAAGAGCAATCATAGCCATCCAGGAAGAAAAAGAAGAAGCCTGTTACATGACACAAGAAGATCCAGAACGGCAGCTACTACATGGAGAGCGTGAAGTTGTTGGTGGCCACTCCCAGTGAATCCTAGGATGAACACCATCCCCCGGCTGGTGTTGGTTTTGGTGTGAGTGAGCTTTCAGAGTTTGCACGGTATTTCAGTCTTTAGCTTTGCGGAAGTACTTGTCAAGGTTAATGAGTGGCCTGCTCGTCAGAGCAGAAAGAGGGTGAAAGCTGTTCCATCACAAACAACATTGTGATTCTGTAGTCTTGGCCTCCTGCTTCTAATATGGCAAATTGACAAAGCCCTGCGAGGAAAGCCAGGTCAGCGTGCCAATGGTGCACGGAATGTAGCATCCCTTGGGATGCAGGCAGGCCTCGCTTTGTGTATCGATTGCTTCCTTAAATTTTCCTTTTCAGTTTTTCTTTCCTTATATTAATTTTTTTTTCATTTTACATATCGATCCCAGTTCCCTCCCTCCCTCTTTTCCTCTCTCCCACCCTCTCATGCTCCCCAACCACTCTCCCCTCACACCCCCACCCCCTACTCCACAGGGAGGGTGATGACCTCCAGGTAGGGTCATCTAAATCTGTCAAGTCATTTGGAGTAGGGACTAGGCCCTCCCTCCTGCCTCTAGGTTAAGGGAGTATCCCTCCATGGGGAATGTGCCCCCAAAGTCCTTTCGTGCACCAGGGATACATCCTGGTTCCACTGTCTGAGGTCCCTTAGACTGCCCAGGTCTTCTAACTGAGACTCATGTTCAGGGGGCCTGAGTCAGTCCCATGCTGGATTTCCAGCTATCAGTCTGGGGGCCCTTAGCTCCTCCTTGTTCAGGTCAGCTGTCTCTGTGGGTTTCTGTAACCTGGTCTTGTCCTCCCTCTCTGCATCTGGATTCCAGTTCGGCTCAGTGTTTAGCTGTGAGTGGCTGTTTCCATCAGGTACTAGATGAGGGCTCCATGATGGTGGATAAGCTAGTCATCAACCTCATTATCAGGGAAGGGCATTTACGGTAGCCTTCCCACTGTTGCTCAAATTGTTAGTTGGGGTCAGTCTTGTAGGTCTCTGGACATTTCTCTAAGTCAGTTTTCTCTTCAGACCTATAATGGCTCTCTCTCTCTCTCTCTCTCTCTCTCTCTCTCTCTCTCTCTCTCTCTCTCTCATCTATTCCTCCCCTGACTCAATCTTCCTAGTCCCACGTGCTTTCCTCTCCTCCCTTCTCTTTCTCCTAGCTCCCTCTCCACTCACTGCCTCCCACCCCACCATGTCCTCAGGAGATCTTGTCCCTTCCCCCTTCTGTGAGGGACCTTGTATGAATCTCTTAGAATCCTCCTCGTATCCTAGTTTCTCTGGCGGTGTGACTTATAGGATCTCTTAATGTCTGGCATTTTCAATTGTCAAGTAATGCTGCAGGGTAAGTTAGAGACGTTGTTTACGGCACATACAGCCTGTGTGCTTTTCTGAATCTCAGAAGTCGTCATCATGTACACCAACAACAATCAGCTTAAGGGCTGGGGAGATGGCTGAGTGAGGATCCCCACACCCAGGAAAAAAGCTCAGTTACATCTGCAAGGGCTTGTAACCTCGGCACAGAAGGGACAAGTGGTGGCAGAGACAGGTTCACACAATGTGTGGGCTACCAGCCTGGCCAAAAACATCTCAGCTCTAGGTTCAAGGAGAAAACTGTGTCAAAGAAATCAGGCAGAGAATGGAAAGTAGGACATTCAGTACGCTGCGATGTACACACAAGCATGCAGTGGAAAACATTTTTATACACACAGGTAGGGGAGCAGGGTGGGGTGGGGCAGAGGGGAGGCTCTGGTGTTTTTAATAAAAATCCATTGAAAAGATTCTACCAACAAAGATGGAGCTGTTTTCCAGAGTTTTCTATATCCAAAAACTGTAATCCTATTATATTTCTGCATTAATACTTAGCTGCACCGATTTGTTTTGAAGTGTAATGTGCATTTCCATATGTAGTTCTCAGCTGAACCATCACAGACATAATGAGTTCAGCTCTCAGAATACCCGGGCAGCTGGGGAACAGCCCTACGTTCATGTTGCTTGCACAAACACGAGTTGTGTTCCCACAGTGGGATCCAGGACTCCTGAGGTCCTGCAGCGTCCAGTAAAGTACAGGATGCTGATAGGGAGAGGGGGTTGGGTTCTGAGAGTAAGAATTTCCGAGACCACAGTAGACACAGCCTGAAAGGAGCCGGTGAGGCAAGGCGTTACTTATGGGGGGAGGGTATGGGCAATGAGCAGATGTCTGCAGATACTACAGAAGAAAATAAACACCACCAAAGAGCAGATTACGCAGGAAAGCTTTAAAGGGGGATTTTTACCACTGATGTTTGGGAAACACCCTGGTGGGACTGAGCACTCTGAGTAGCGTTCCTGAAAGAAGGGGAACACATTCGTGTAGTCGGGGTGGTGTCTCTGCCCAAAGTCCTTTTTATTTTCCTATTTATTTTGTCATTTTAAAAAATGTGTAGAAAACACCTACTATGCATTAAGAAGTATGCTTCCTTGCATCCTCCCAACAGAGATACACACACACACACACACACACACACACACACACACACACACACACACAGTACTTTGGAGATCAAATGCCATTTGTTAACAACTAGAAGCCGTGGACTTTAGAAGCAAAGACAGAACAATTCACTTACTGTAGCAAACTGAATTCACAAAGCAGCCTCCCAGGGTGAAGCTGGTAAACATGTGCCTACCAGGGTGTTTGAGTTGGCTTTTCTGGCCTTGATGATGGGGACAGATAGATACCTTGCTGACATAGTCCATCATTTCTGATGAAAGGGGCTTTGCGTGGTGTTGTGTGTTTTCTTTATATCATTATATGGCAACATATTTCTTGTTTCAAATAACATGAACTAGACGTACTCCTTTTTTACGGCAAGTGTGGATTTCCTGCGTTTGACGTCACGATGTCATCCCTAGAAACTTTTATTATTCCCATACTCTCTGGTCAGGCTTCTACTATATCTTTGCTACTGGAGGTTTTTGCATTATTTTCATAACCAAAAAGCTACACAAATAATCTTTTCACCTTTTAGATCTATTAGAAAGACCAGATCTTGTTATAATTTCAGTCAAATTTGTATTCTTTTTGTACCTCAAAATTGAGATCCAATTATTTAATCCATGAGGAGTAATTTAAGGAAAATTTCAGAGACAAAGCATTAATATCAAGTTTGTGTACTCTGTTATTATCTTGCACTTTATGAGCCAGCATTTCAATCTTTAGCTTGAAAGTAATGTTAGTTATGAGTTCCCCTAAGCATACATGAGAAGTTATTAAAGGAAAGTTCTAAAAGAAAATAAAACTTTTCTTTTTTTTGCCACCATTTATTTGATGCTCACTTGCCTTGGGCTCAGAATTTGCAAGGTAGAAAATTTCATTAGCTATTACGTATTCCCATCTGGCTTTGACTAGGGCAGAGTTGCTGGGCCAGATGGTCAGGCCCAGAGCTTCTTATTTAAGAAGCAAGCATGTAGACCACAGTGCCTCTTCTTGGGATGGGGGATCTGAGGAAGAAGGAACATGGCCTCTGACAGAGTCCACAGTCTCAGAAGAAGCCCAGATTTTCCTACCTTCATTCGCCTTTTTTTTTTTTTTTTTCAAACATTCCAAAACTACACAGGGTTAAAAATGTGCATGGACAAGTTGACTGTTGTTCTTAGGTGGGCGATATTTTCATCTTTATTAATCTAATCATTCTGGAAATAAAGACAGTCTAGGGTTTGTTACAGAAAGACTATGATTTGACCAGAGGAGACCCATGTTGGTATCCTCTGTCTGCTGAACCTCTCTGAGATTCAGGTTCCAAATATACGAAAAGAAAGTAATAGCTACTGCCCTATCTAGCCAATAACTTAGTATGTTATTTCTATGAAAAACACTATTTTAGAGCAATTAAACACAGACCTGGAAGCTATATATCTTTCTTTTATTTGTTGCCTTTCATCCTGGAGGGGAAAATAAAAAATTATTTAATTTGCAAAAGATAGCCTTCAACACCAACCACCTCGTCTGTTTCTCTAGTCTGCTTCTCACTATTACACACATAGCATATGGCCATACTTGGAAAGGAGCAGACATCTCCATTTCTTTTATCTATAAACATATGTTTCCATGAAACACTTCAAGAAGCTTGGTCTGAGCCCTGTTGCCATGACTACTTTCCCATACCAGACTCCCCAACATCTTCCAGAACCAGTTGCCACCAAGGAGCAGCCTCCTCCTCAAACTGCCCTCTGAGGACACAGAACCACACACACTAACACACACACTAATTCTTGTTCACGAGAAGACACTTTCTTCTAAAGCTGCCCCAAGCTACTCGTCACTGAGTTGGGTTTTTTTTTTTTTTTTTTTTTTTTTTTTTTTGGGAGAAAAACCACCGAATCAATGTTAATGGTGACTGATGCTTTATACAGTGAGATCCTACGGAAACATGGGCAATATTCTCAGCTACGAAGCTCTCACTCACATTGCTGAGAATGATGTTGTCAGTACTGTTGACAAGTTTAGTAGAAACACACAGGGCACATGGTACAGTTATTGTTAGAGAAAGACTTCTCAGGGTTCATGTGAGACTAGCGTTCCCGTAGACATCTGACTCTAGACTGTACTCATTTCCAGTTACTTTCAATATCTTCTTTATCTGGACTCTCAAGCCTTTCAGGCTGTTTTACTTTATGATTTTTGTCTGTCTTTTTTTTTCCTTTCATTGAGATAAGTGCTATTTTGTCTTACTTCTAGAACATAGAGTTCTAAGAAAATCTACTCTAATAAAATGAACATTGAACTAAAAGTTATGAGACACTGCTTTTATGGATTCCTTACTTCTTTAAATCAAAAGGACAAGTTGTAAACTACTTTAAAAAATGTCATGTCCTATGCTACAGGCTCCTTGGTCCTCAGGAAACATGAAAGGCACAGGTTTACAATCACTTTGAGAAAGTTGCCTGTAGAATTCTAAGGACAGGAACTAAAAAAAAAAAAAAAAAAAAAAAAATTAGCACCCACCCTCAGAAATTTCATGCCACATATAGAATAAACAGGCCCAAGAATTCCAAACACCAAATGCTCAGGTAGCCTTTATAACAACAACAACAAAATGTGTTTCCCATTTTGTCTGGAGGAGAGTTCTTTGGATGCAGATCAATTCTGGTAACTGTGTAGACATGGTGAAAAAGGAGCAACATGTCACACAGATATACTTCCTAAACGTCAAGAGGACTACAATGCTTTGGAGACTTGATTCTTGATATATGGGTGGAACCTGAGATTCACAAGCCCCTGGGTAATACTCACTTGACTGGGGTTATTCATCCACTGATCTCTGAGTCACGGCTGGTATATGGTCATTGATGATCATTTCCTGGTCCTTATATCTCTTAAACAGTTGTTTTGACTCCATAAGATTTTGGCGGTATCTAGAGATAATGATGAATGTCATAACCTACAAAATGTCATCATGTGCATTGGGGCCATAGATATTGCTAAGCACCTTTCAGGACAGTTCCTTATGACAAAATTACCTGTAGTGCAAAATTACCTGTAGTGCCATGGTAGAAAACCACACTATGTTTGTTTGTTTATTTTTGCTTTGTTTTTTGTTTTTGTTTTTGTTTTTGAGACAGGGTTTCTCTGTGTAGCTTTGGAGTCTGTCCTGGCACCCACTTTGTAGACCAGAATGGCCTCGGAACTCACTGAGATCTTCCTGCCTCTGCCTCCCAAGTACTGGGATTAAAGGCACGTACCAACACTGCCTGGCTTTTGTTTGTTTGTTTGTTTTTGTTTGTTTGGGAGGAACCACACCATGGAGGCAATATTTTGTGTATGTCTCATGTGAAATAAATAATCTGTTGAAACTGTTCAAAACATCAAAATCTTAGAAGAAAGGTTAAGCTCATGTACTAGAAACTTGGAGCAGAGGGTGAGCACTGTTTAAAATGACCTCCCAGCATCTCAAAGAGGATGTAAGGGATGGTGGCCAGCTGTGTTCCATCTCCCTTGAGGAATGAAGAGGAAATGTACATAAAAGGACCTGTCCTGGCTGACTACTCTTTGTGTACTTCCTTCATGCCAGCCAGGAAGACTGCTTCTTGAGTGCACAACCATATTTGTCCAGTGCATCTTGCTATGCTCAGAGACCCTCCCAAGTCCTGGGTAGAAATTTTCTTCTCGCTGCCAAGTCCCATTTCCCCATTACCTTCCAATGTTAAAAAGTCTTCCTTTGCTAGGATGGAACGTCTGCCAGTTTCTCTCCAGCCACAGCTGGCACCCTTCCCTCTTAAACATGTTATCTTTCAGACTATAAACACGTTACTGCCCATCTGTGTAAGAGGGATTGTGCCAGATTTCCATAAAGGATAAAAAGATGAATAAGACTGTCCTCGATTTTAAGACTTTCCTCGTCTAGCAGGGAAAGGTAGGGTAGATAATAATAGAAATAGTATCTAGTAGTTATCTTGGTAAGAACTTTCTTTCAAAATCAAAGAGGTTTTAGGAATTAGAAGAACAAGAAAGCCTGTGTAGATAGATCTGCAAGTGGAAAGGAATGGTTGTTTCCCTTTGGAAGTAATGTCTCCAAATTAAGTTAGAATCCCGTGCATCAAATAATTATTAATGTATTATTATTAATATTGTACATTAGTAATGAACATTTATTATTAATGTAATTTAGAGGTTATGATTTAGAGTAACCTGTGTTTATAGGATATTTATGGACAAAGTTTAGAGTGAATAAGAACCAAGAGATTCAATATTAACATTTCAACATTAAAAGTCCTCCTCAATCTATAGGAATAAAATAGAGAAGTTTCCAGAACCTGTGTGATGATTGAATCTAGTTTTGATATTTGAGTTTAATCACCTCTGAGCATGCTTTAGAATGTGCTATTATTATAAAAGGTGGTGATCTTTGAGAATGGTTGCTGGTTACATTCTGGATGGGATATTGAAACTTGTAAGTTTACTTTTCCAAACTATGACCAGATGAAGAATTTGGTACTTTACATCAGAGCTTGTGATTTCAGAACTCAGTAGATGGTCACCCTTCATGTAAAACTTTTCTTTTACTTGGATCACAGAGAAATCAAAGAGATAAGTTTTCGTGGATATATATATATATATATATATCCATGAAATATATATATTGTGTACCAGGCACGAACTAATGAGAATATTATCTAATTTATTCCAAAAAGTTTGTGAGTTTATCACAGTCAACAGTTATAAGGAGGCTTTTTTGTGTGCGTTAGTAGGAACTTCTGTCAACTGGCTGTTTCTGAAGGAGAAGCAGACTTATCTGAGATTTGCCCAGGAAGCCATCCCTGAGTGGAAGCAACCCTGTAAAGGCCATTCAAACGAAAGGAATCCTTTGGATGCAAAGGAATGGCAAATTCCTTTCGGAAACAGAATGGAGAAAGCTCCTGCCAGGGAGGCTTCAATGCAACTGCCAGCATCTTCAGAACTTGTAGTAGGGAAAGCGTTACTGCTTAAAATCACCATGGTCACATTTTACTATAGGGATCGCTTCTGGGAAAGAATCTGCAAACTCATAAGTCATAAAAATGACTCCCACTCCATCCTAAAATGTTACTTCTGAGAATGGTACAGATGTTAATTTCCAAACATTTTTTTAAAAGCTATCCTGTAGGTGCTCAATGAGCAACCAGAACCTTCTTAAGTTCTCATTGTCTTGAGTTTTGATTGTTCTTTTTCATAAGAGCACGGCCTTCATTGGCCACCCTAAGAATGACTTCCACAATCCCAAACACAACGTGTTTGCTGTCAGTCAACCTTGTGTAACTGGGTTTGCTTTCCCTCTCTCAAAGTTATTCTAGGCGTCTGCATATCCTTCAATGTCGATGTGAAAAACTCGCTGAATTTCAGTGGCCCTGTGGAGGACATGTTTGGATACACCGTTCAACAATACGAAAATGAAGAAGGAAAATGGTAAGCAAACAGGCTCTGGTGTTGTCTTGTTCTTTTATGCAAAAAAAAAAAAAATGGAAAATATTTCCCGCTGGTTTTATAAATGGAACATTAACTGAATGGCTCATTTGTGCTAGAAAAACGTATTCTATTGGGTTGGCGAAGGAAGCTGACGTGAAGTTAAATAAAGAAGGGGCATTCCTTGGAATTTTAGAAGAAATGGTTACAGATTTCTGCTGGTTCATTACTGGGTTGACCTCAACGAAGCTTCTTATTCCAGTATTCAGTCACTGTGTTTCTTTGACAAGTGTTCCTGGGTTGTTCCTATTCTAGAGTTACTTGAATACTTGACTGAAATTCATGAATAAGGATGTGGTAGGAGATGAGATACCCAGAGAGGGTTACTATTACTTTGGTTGCTGGGGGCTTTGGTTTTTTTTGTTTTTTTTGTTTTTTTTTTTTTTTTGGTGCTCATGTGATAAACTAAGTGTTGTCTCAGGATGACACTGAACCACACTGAATTGCTGACACACTTTAATACAGTGAACCTCTGGTTAACTTCATTTTAGATCAACATTTTGGAGTATTTTTTAAACAAATTCACAAAATTAATAGTGGAGACTTTTTACTTTTCATTCTACCTAACTAAAGTCAAAACAGATTTCTAAAACTGTACATTATAGGCCTAAGTATGAGTTGGTGAAGATTTCTCTCTGTTCCCTAATCTTAGCCCATGTTTCTCCTAGCAGAAGAGACTTGAATCATCTAGGTTAACAATGATGTGCTAGTCCACAATGATTATGTCACAGAAGCAAATGTACATTTTGATTTATCTTTTAGACTTTTTAAATTTGGTAGTAATCCCTTAGAGACTATCAAAACTAATAATTTGAGTCCTCAAATCTTTTAAGTGTGACTATTGTATTGTAAGTGTACGTTGCCATTTATGAGAAATTTAGCAAGATTGCTATGAAGTTTCACATCCTCTGCCCACCTTTCATGTACTTGCCATACCCCCATGCTTATGTTTAAGGTTACACTAAGTCATTATCTTAGATAGCAGACACCATTTATGGTCTTTCCGAAACTGCAGTTGAAGGAGTCCAACCCATTCGGAGAAGCCAACTATTCAGGCCTCTTTTGACTATGCAGAAAACACATCTAAAAGTCAATTTTTACTTATCACCAGTAGGTACATGAATGTAAAAACAAGTGTAATGAACAGCAAGCTTTGAAGAGTTAAAACACAAATGACAATCGGATGCTGAGAAAATATTTTATACAATTTCTTTTTAATTTTATTATATTGTTTTTGTAATCCTTCATATGAAAGGAAACTGTAAGTTTCTACCCCCTACATAGAACTGACTTCCTGATTTTAGAGAAAATTGGCATCAGAAGTCCTTCGTTTGTATTTTTCCTTACCTTAGTGGAACCATTTGACCTTTTCAGGCTCTGTCTCACATTTTTTTTTTATTAAAAATTTTCATTTATTTTACATCCCAACAACAGTTTCACCCCTCTGTGCCTCCACCTACCCACTGCCCCACCCCACACACTCCTCTGTTATTGCTCAGAAAGGGACAGGCCTGCCATGGGTGTCAGCAAAACATGGCATATCAAATTGAGATCAGCTCTGAGAGCTCATCCTACTGTAAGGATGAATTCTCCAGTCCTCTTTACTCATGGGATCATGGGACCAGAAGGCCAGTCATTAAGAAACTGAGGACTGAGTGAGACCTTGATGCATCTCATTCCCTGTCACCCTGTCTCAGCAGAGATGAAGATCTGCACAGGAAAAGAGACAGAACAAATGAATGTAGAGATTGACCAGAAACCCAGGCTTGCAAAGCTAATGTTGCTCATTGTGTGTCTGAATGAAATCATGTGAGCTGGTCGTTAAGCGGACCATTAATTCTAGAGATATTTGGGAGACAGTATCAAAAGCTCAACCTGCTTTTATTCTTGAGATTATGCCCCTGAAGATCTTGCTTCACACATTAAATGCAGCTTAGTTCTCTTTACAAGTGGTTTTGAAAAGGTTAAGACCTTTTTCTTTAGCAATAGCATACATTTGGATATGCCAAGCAGCAAATATGTCCTACATATACAGCAGTGTTCTAATTCTGTGTGAAAAAATAGTATTAAAGAAATAATAGAGGTTCACAGTCTAGAGAGTATTCTGAAAGAACTAAGGACCAACAATAGTGCCAAGCAGTTTGGGACATACTGTGAGCTCCCTGAGAGTTTGGGAAGAAGAACTTGTAATCTGAGCCATGAAAGGTGACTTGGTTGACAGAAAAGGTCATCCCAAGTTGGAGAGCCACATGAGTAAAGGTAAACCTTCAAAGACAAATAACAGATCTTAGAACCAAAAACAGGGCATGGGAAAAAACCACTGGAGGTTGTTTCATTAAGTATAATTTTAAAAAAAAATTAATGTTAAATAAAAAATATATAAAAAAATTTAATGTAGCTCTGACGAGATTGCCTACAAATTAGGAGACCTATCTGCAAGCCAGAAGCCAATTCCGTCCTTAAGAGATGAGACTCTGTAGGGTCTGGCTGGAGTCCTAGCACTTGAGACATGGAGATGGGAAGATGATGAGTTCAGGGTCATTCTCCTTTACACAGGGAGTTCAAGGCCCACCTGGACTACTTTGAAACATAGTTTCAAAAGTGATAAAAATAAATAAAACAAGCCAAAAAGAGAGATGAGGCCCTAGGCTAACCTAGGGATGACTCGAATAAAATAAACGCATATCCAAGATCAACTTAGATGACTCATTAAGTTTTGCTGGGGCTTTAGAACTGGAAAGTGAACAAAGGCATGAAACATATCTCTGTATTGGAATTTTGGGAAATGGGGAGCCATTGACAGAGACACGTGTAGGTACAGACACGTTCGGTCAATCTTACGAAGTTGATGAATTTAGTTTTAAACAGCTTGAATATGAGGTGGTGTCTAGGTAGTCAGAAACTACAAAAATGGAATGCCGATAAGTGGAGAAACTAACAGCAGAAAAGACTCCTCGTGAGCGATGATCAGCTTTAGTGGTCTCCCTTTACCCTGCACCCTGCCCTGTACTGACAGGTGGCCATAAACAAAATATGCACTCAGTGATTATATACTGACTAAACAGCTAAATCGTGTGTAACACAGTTTAAAAAGTCAATGTTGAGCCTCCCTGTTTGGAAAATCACCAGACTTTACATATCAGTATGTGTGTCAGAGCTTGTGAGCATTTTGGATGTATATGCATATCAGCTACCTGTTTCTAGTTTAACACTCCATATTTCCAGAGATTGTTAAGGGACAGTGAAGAGCTCAGAACAACCAAAAGGGTATGAATAACTGAATTTACAAATACGATAACTTCCATCCCCGAATTCCCAAGCTGTAACGGTGGCACGTTAGCCAGTGTGGCTCTAAAGAGATCCAGGCACTGGTGACGTAGAAATGTGTTTGGATATTCTGTAAGTGTTTATCAAATCAGATAGAACACAGGCTTGCTCTGGGAAATGCACTGTGGGATAACTGATATACTTTGGGGAACATGGATCCTGTTGTTTTAGTTTTCTTCAGGGGTGAACGTCTTAATAAGTATTTACTGCCCGTATTTTAGAAACCTGTCCAACTTAGGTTAAAAAGAAAAACCCCCTCTGACTCATCTTACATCTTGACTACACCATGCCTAAAGAAGGAAGGAGCTCTTGTTGGGTCGCTGTACATGTGTCCCTGTGTTTGAAAAACATTGCTTAAATTCTTTGGAAAGAGTCAAAACAGCACTAAAGTAGCTTTATGTCCCCTTTACTTCTCAGGAGTTTACTGCCAAGTGTAAATTTACTTTATGACTTTTGCCCAGAAACCACGTTTTCTCAGTAACAGGATGAATGCATCATACCTCTGATTAAGATCGGTGTTGCCCACCACGGCTAGCAAGAGTTGCAGCATCCAAGGGATTGCAATGCAGTTCAGAAGAACCCAGATGAGCACAGCTGATCTAACAGCTGTAACTGGAGTAAAAGAAATTAAACAACACAGGGCCCAACACAAGCTTTCGGAGAAACACAAGATGTGGCTTGGGACTTCCCGCTGCTCTCTCTTGGTCCTTTATTTCTTCTGTGTTGGACTCTTTAATGACTGCCAGACTTGCTTAGAGGCTTCTATGACTTCAGTGGACATGTTCTCCCCTACTAGGCATCAGTTTGTAGATAGACGCCCCCCAACCCAATCCTCAGCTTAATGTGTGTCAAAACTCTGGAGTCCTTTGATAACACTATCTCCCTTCCCAAAGGACTGTAGATGGTGCCAGAGAAGGGAACCATGGTTTGCGTAACTGGTGTTCTGTGTCCAGCATATGTATCTTTTATATAAAACTTGTCCGATCTCAGAGGAAAAAGACTTCCTAAATTCTCCTATAGAGTTTAACATAGTATTTACGTTGCATTGTCTATGATGCCTTTCAAAACTGACATGACCTTTCTTGCAAAATTTCTTTTTTTTTTTTTTTTTGGCTCATTTCATTTTCAGCCTTCTGATGATTTTTTTTTTCCTAGTCAGAATCAGTATAATTAACAGGGTCACAGTACAAGTCTCATTTTTGAGATCACTAAACAGTTACTCCATTCATAAAAGGAAAAACAAAACTGGCTGACAGGAGTTGTGACAGTCTGAGAGTAACTTTGGTTGGCTCGATTAAACATCGAAAAAGAGGTAGGTTAAAAGGGTAAATATGGAAAAAATCTTTTTCCATGGTTTTTTTTTCCTATAGAATGGCATCAGTCATCACCCACTCTTTAAGGAAATATAGCCATGGTCACAGTAACGCAAATGACAAGTATGAATAGCACATTTTATCCCAGCTCACTAAGCTTTTTAGTATGACTGGAACTTTTACATGGAGAAAAGATGTGTTTTCTAGCTTTAGAGTGATCCTTAAACCCACTGGATATTTCTCTAGGGGTTAGTGATGATATCCAAAACGTTCTCTCTCTCTCTCTCTCTCTCTCTCTCTCTC